CCCCCCCCCTTCACAGAAAAAAGCACGCACTTCAGCATTTCATCCAGGCATCCCCTCCTATAAACATTTATGGCAAGCCAAGTGTGCGCTACAGTGAGGAGTTTCATGGAAATCACTGAACTAATTTTTGTGGTGGCAATTTGCCCAGTACTGTTTCAAGGATCAGGCCCCATTTACGTTTTGCCACATACAATCAAAAGAACCCTATCTACCAAAAGTTCCAGAAAGTATGTTAATACATTGCCTCCTGTACGTGTAGAAAACATTTTTAATAATTGCTAGCCAAACTTCACCTGTTTATTACATTGCCTTCATCCTTCTTGAAAGTTCTCCTGCTTTTACTATATGTAGAAATAATAAATATATAAGATACACCAGTTATTAAGCCATCGAAAAAGCACATGTCATTCCAGAGGGGACAGGAGGCACTTAAGGTTTGGACGTTAAGAGCTGGTTATTAACACAAGTGTCCTGTCTGGTTAGAAGCTTCAGCTGTTCCACATCTCCTGTAAAACTGCAGCTTTGCTGGGAAGTTCCTGCACACTGTGATAAAACAGGCTGCTTCACATCTGAAAAGACAACAACATTTCAAGAATATTAATCCAGGAAAGGTTATTCAGGACCATAATAGTAAGCTGAAATAAATAACAGAGTGAATCTGACATGGAATGGACATCAGGGAGTAAATCCATTGTCCAGGACAACGTCCTAAATTCACAGAACCAGAGCCAGCTCTGGTGTTTTGAATAACATAGGTAAAATTGCATTCTGATGCTCCAATTCAGGGGACAAATTATTTTGTCCTTACTGCTGGCATCTGGAAAACTCAGTCTGGGGACAAGCGCAGTGTGTATTCCGGGTGAAATGAGAATGGGCGAAAAAGATCTAAGATGTTTTGCAAAAGGTCTCTCCACATTTGTGGAGGTTGATGGGATGCACTTTAGGGGGGCTTCATCCTAAAACGACGGTGCAAGCTTGTTCTTAGCTTGGGCCCAACATAGCTGCCTCAGCCTATGCCTGGCTCGACCTCCACATACGCTCTGACACCTCCTTCCTCAGGCCATCCTTCTCCTCTGCCTCCCTCCTTCACCCTGCTCAGGCCGGGCCCTTCCTGCAGACCAGCCCTTTCCCAGAGTCACTGCCCTCCTCATCTTCCTTCTCCCCTCCCTCAGCAAAAGGCCCCATTTGCTGAGAAAGCTTCATACATGAAGGAAGATGCAGAATTCACTTCTCAAACTGTGGCCTTCATAGGTGCTCTGACTGTCTCTGCCTTGGCACACACAAAAATATAGGCCAGCATCTGCCAGTTTTGCATGCTAGCAATCAAGATTTTTAAGCCACAGAAACCTCAATAGAAGTGCTGGAATTTGCACGATGTGGAATGGGCATAGCACTTTCAAGACACTAAAGGGGGCTGAACACTTTTAAGTATCAAGTTCCTTTTTATAGGCAATGGCCTTAAGAAATCTGTTAGTTCTCGGACATACAAAAGGTAATTGACCTCAGGAATTACAACCAGGAAATGAACGATTAGGAGTCAAAGCTAAAAAGCTATGTCCATAAAGGTCTACTTCTGCAAAGTGGTTGCCACTTCTTCAGTTCTTCAGTTGCCACTGACTTCATTAGCCTCGTTTTTTCTGGGATTCTCGTTCATGACAGTTTGCTCAAGCTGAACTTTTTTTAAGCCATTGCCACTTGAGGCTGCTACCAACTGAAGTCACTGTTTGCTCTTATAGGACATTTTTGTTTGTGTATTTTTAGCTCTTTTCTTTTAGTTTCATGGCAAAATACCAAGATTAACAAATAGTAACCTTACAGGAAGCAAGATGAAAATAATAAACTTACGTATTTACTGCTGACGTGTGAAGAAGAATCATCACGTTGCTGAGTTTTATTCTTCCCCTGAGATGAGTGCTCTCCTAAGAGACAGAAAATACGTTTTGGGTCAGTTAAATATATAAAGAGAAGACAAATGAGTCTAGCGGGAACACATCACAGACCACTGTGCAAACCAGCCAGTCTCCTTGTCAGACCTACTTAACAGGCAAAAATCTATCCACACAACAGATTTTCACTGCTCTCTTAGTAGTTTATAGCTCATTCCCTGCATAATTTGCTCTCAGATGGTGGGGTACTACCAAGAATTATTTCCAAGGGGGTTCTGAAAAGGTTAGACTTTCAAATCAGTTGTGAACTATGATTATAACATTAAATAATAAAAAGAAAAACATGCAACTATAAAATCAAATTTTGCTGCTACTGCTGACAGTAGCTCAGTTCCTCCTAAGTCGGAAAAATGACCATTTAACAACTTCAGTTAGTAATTACAAACAGCTCTTACTCCTCTTTCTCTGGAGAAGCTGAGCTACTACTAGCAATTACACACAAACAACTATGCCTCCAGATGAGGACATGTCTACAGTTGTCCTACTTCCAAGCCTAGGTACCAGTAACATCAGCAGGATTACTTTGCATCATAGATTCTGGCACAGAGATGAAAAAGGAATCACAGCCCCAGCCTGGACAGAGCCCCATTTAAACAGCTATTAGCTTACTGAACCCCAGGTACATTCAGGGAACAGCCTGCCACCTCTCTGCTCACCTGTGAAAAACAATTTAATTCCCAGTACATACAAGAGGTGCAAGAAAGTGAAGAGCTATACTACATTCTAGTAACAGTGAATTTGTATTAAATAGCTTGCACATGATCTATAGCTTGGGGTTGAAAAAATGTAAAACAAATTAGGATTACAACAAATGCATTGATTAGGCATTTAACTAATTAGCAGTCAAATTAAATAGTTGCACTCCACTTGGAAGAAAATAGAAAAGAGTAGTCAATGATTTTCAGGCAGCTTTTCTTGGCAGCAATTCATGCTCTGTAATTTAGTGTAGCCTTTCACAGATGAGTAGAAAACTTTGTATCCAATGGGATTCTATGAGAAACATTGAAAATGGTTTAAGAATAACGTGCTGAAATTGTTTTTACTTCCAAGCGTTCTATTTGGGATAAAATTATTTCAGAAGCATTACAAGAATGTTGCCAAGTTAGTGCTTGAGAAGTTCTGATAACCTTAAATTTCAGCTGAAAATCCCCTCAGCAAATACTTCAACAATTTGCTATATGAATTTAGACAGAAAAGGAAAACACTTTTTTCTGGCAGAAAAAAAATGAAATATTTCAACAAGATTGACACAGTTTTGGTAAGTTTTTGTTAGATAAAAATCTTATTTTGAAAAGGTTAAAAAAAGTCAACCAGTTCAAATTCTTATATAGTTTTATATTAAGAAATCAATTAGATTTGCAAAAATTGTCCTCATTTTTTATTTCCCTTTTCTTTCTTCTGCATGTTTTAACCCTCCTTGCTTCTAGATAGTTGTTCAATATAAAGAAATTAATACTTCAATGGGGTGCAAAAGGGGGAAATTGACAAAACAGTTTTAAAAAATGTGTAGGAGAAATTCACTGAAAAATATATCACTGTGGAGAAGAAAAAACTTCAACAGCTGCTGAAAATATCAATATTTTGTTATGAGTTCCAGTCTCAGCTGGTAACTTTGAGCTAGAAAGGACGCAAACTTGCGTAGAGAGCCATGCTTTCTACCACAGAAAAATAATGAATTTTTCCTTAGGAAACGCTCTAAAGCCAGTGTAGCTCACTGGACAACCATTGACGTCAGTAGGCTTTGGATCAGACTATAAAAATGGATGAAGTCATGCTTGCTACAGAAAGCAGACTGCTTGATCCATACCTACTGACAGCTGTAGTATTATAATAGTGGTGAATTTGCCTTATTGCAAGACCAGAGAACACAGCACACACGGACACTCACGTTCCCTGCCTAGAGTTCCTGATGCTATATACATAACCCATGGAAATATTGAACTGCCTTAAAATATTGCTGGGTGTCAATGTCCCCTCGTAATATCAATGAGTGTCTGATGAGAGTTTGATGTAAAGGGTTAAATAGCTCTATGCCATTTTGCCACTGTTGCTTGTGCTCCCAAGAGAGCAGGCGTGCAACAAGAATTCGGGAATACAACAAAGTCATTGCTGCTTTATGACTGCTAATGCATTTGAAGGTATTAGCGTTACAGAGCCTATAATCATTAGCGTCAACTAACAGTTCAGTGATGAAGACAGAATGATTATATTCTGGAGAAGAAATGGGCACACAGGCGTTCTCTAATCAAGACTAACGAGGGTAACGAACTACTTTAGATACAGAACTGCAATACAGCTTGGGACTGCACAGAGCTGTCTAGATCAATTTTAAAGTCTGATGGCTCAGCAGTTTGATGCTGTGCTAAATATCCAGCTGCAAAACACAGAGCAAATTCAGAAGAACATTCAGGTTAGTTGCAAATGTGAAAACATTTTTATCAATTTCAAAATAGCCTTAACTGACAGAAATGAATTCCAAGACTAAAAAAAAAACCCCCCCCCCCCCCCCAACCCATCACTCCCTAAAAACAATGAATTAGAGCTTGTTTCCCATAAGGGAAACTGAAAACAAATACTTGTGTTTATTGTTTTGTTAGAATGGATGATATTTTAATTGACTGAAGGAATTGTTTAGCACAGAACTGTGTGGCCAGTGGAGAAAACTTGTCTTTCCTAAAACCCCTGCATTTCCAATATTTCCACATGCAGTGGCAGTACTCCACCAGTCTAGACAGATTACCTGCACGCTTTGAAGACTGCAGTTGAGAAAGAAAGGCTATAGTTACATAAAATACACTAACAATAGCAAAACAGCTGGACAGCAAAATCAGTGAAAATTAGTCTTTTGTTGATTCTGGATTGTTCATTCAGGGGAAGGCAAACACCTCAAATCTAGTGGTGTACACTAGTAGATGGAAGACATCAAGAGAGACTGGAACCATCAGCTTCTCTCAATTTAGTTGTACGGCATCCAGCATAAAAGTAGCCTAGTGCTAGTCAATTCAATTTTATAAGTACTACTGCAATAATTTTCTGATAATATGTGGAAAATTCATTGCAAACCTCTCTACTCTGTTAAGGTAATTAAGTAAACTGTGAAAAGTGGGAGATTAGGGAACTGGCAAAAAGTATTTGGCACAGTTAACCAAGCGCTGTCAACTGCACAGCTGTAAGTGCAATGTGACCCCTTTTACCTGTGGTCCTGCCTTGTGACACCTCTCCTGTTGGAGTAGGAGTTGTGAGCTCATATAGATTAGCAGAGGGCAGTGAGAAGCCAACCTCATATAAATCACGCACTTCTACAAAAACTGAAAGAAATGATGCACAGTTTGAGAAAGACACCTTAGGTAGAGTATTTGGAAATGAAATTATACTGATACTGACATGGAAATTCTATTTGACAAGTGGTTGTAAACCCCTCTATTAAACCTTTTATTGTTCCTCTCATCCCCCAATGTTGCATCTACTTGTTACTTTTGTCGAAAGTGCACTGTAAATACAAAGACATAGACACAATGAAGTCTCTAAACATTACCGTAATACAATGCAGACAGAAGTTAAACCATCTAACTTACTGCCACAGGGTGTTGTAGATGCCAAAAGGGATAAGGCAAATTCATGGAAGTAAAAGCCACTGAGGATTATTAAGCGCAAGAAGCACAGCCTCTGATTGAGGAAGTCTCCAAGTAACAGCTTGCTGGAAGGGTACAGTGGAGAACGTATTCTTGCATGTCTTCCCTAGTTTTTATTCTTTCCTTGACATCTCCTGCTAACCATTGCCAGCATACCCTCTTAGTTGCAATAAGAAAAGAGGCAGTGCTCTAGCAACTCCCGTAGTACAGCACCAGTCTTTCATTTGAACAGCATCCAATTGTGAACACTCACTAAACACTTATTTTGGAGCCCAGATACTGGATTCACCAGCAAAGTTGGTCAGCAGTCTGGCACTGGACACAGTCTGATACACACCGCATGCATCCTCCTGTGAGAAGTTGTCATCCTTAAAGAGGATGAGGATGGGGAAGATGTAATTGGAAAATTTTGTATTCCTAACTCCTGATCCTTCAACATATTTGTTTGAAGAACCTGGGAGGTAGATTGAGTACATAGAGGACTGAGGTCTCTGCACAGTTACATGGTTTAACTGGGAAAGTAATAATACATTAAAGAAAATGCAAGACTTTCTGAAAAACTGAACTTTCATTTGTGCACTAATGCACTTGGAGAGCGGTATACACTGCACTCACAAATACGCTAATTCCTGCCTATTAACGTTGCATCCCAATGCTAGTATATGCGATTAACTAAGGGGCTTATAGCCAGCTGAAATTAGAGACGGAATAAGAGGAATTCTGAAACTCTGAAACAAACATTTCTTTGTATCCCCTTTGTAGCAGGCTGTTGAATTGATCTCACTTAAAAAAAATGTTATTTTTCCCATTTGATTCAGGATCTGAATGTATTATTCAGAATACACATACACTGCAGAGCATGACAATAAAAATATGAGAATTAACAGATCATGTTCTTATAAGTACAGAAAGTCTTTGACCTGGACAAAGGCCTCTGAGTTTAGTGGGAAAGCTGGAAGAAGGAGGACATAAGAAATTGGCTGTGACATAAAAGTAGGTTGTACTGCATCTCAGATTATATTGTCTATAAGAAAAAATAAGTTGTACTGTTACTTCACTGTAATATCTGCTGCTGAGCAATTGCTCCTAAGTGCCAATCTGGTTTGGAACAAAGAATTACCCCAAGTCTTTCAGTCTGAAGAAAATATGATTGTAGAGACTCGGGTTTGATGAAAGTATAAAACTACTTCTATAGACAGAGGGGATCTAAATGCTTATCTTTTACAATACTGAAATAAAAGAAGGAAGGGAGCCTTAGAGATGGTCGAAAATAGCGCTGAGCAGGACCCAGGCCTGGATGCACCGGCTGAGGTTAGTGTGGTCCACGGGGTCCCAAACTGGTGATGCGCTGCAGTGCTCCCCTGCCATACCAACCATCTGTGATCCCCATGAGCTGCCTGCAAATAGTTCCTTACCACCGTCAACAGGACAGAGGGCTCTGTACAGCTCACCATGTCGGAGAGAGGGCATAAAGAAATGCTCAGATGAAGGACGGGAAGGTAATTGCTGCTGAATGGCCAGCAAGAGGACAGGAGGCGATTTCCCCAATGGGGAGATATCTTGAAACTTCATCTGACCCTCAGCAGTCTCTGATTGTAACAGGCTGCTTTAAAAAGTCTTGCAAATATACACAGCTCACAAACTCAATTAGAACTATAGCCACAGAGATAGAAGGCAGCATATGCTACTTAACATTTTGACTACAGTTTTGCCCAAAAGTCTCAGTCACAAGTGTGTGCAGTCAGATCTTTGTGGTGGAAATAAACACAAAACAGAATTCAGCCACAGACTGTAAAAAGCCGAGAAAATTTATTCTTCAGCTTCTATGAAGAAAGAAACTACAACTTCAGGCCATTATACAACAAAAGGTTAAAAAAGTGGAGGATGAGAAAAGGAGAAAGAAAATGAAAGTGAAGCGAGTACTTGATCTATCTCTTTGTTGCGAGGGGACCCTTTTCTAGGAAGCAGCTTCTACGTTTTCTACCTGCAGGGAAAAAAATAGGTCACTGAAAGTACAGCTCATAATAGGAAAAAGAAATAAACAATGTTATAGCCTCAGATTAGTAAGAGCATCAGCTCTTACCACTTCTAAGCACATAGCATACTAGCAGACTGCTCTCTGCTGACCTGCATTGCTTATCTTGCAAGCAAAAGGAGGAGGGAAGGGAATTTTCAGTGACTGAGGGCCTCACCTAGACATCTGCCTTCTTCGACTGATCCTAGATGTACCCATGCACCCATCCAGATCCTAGACAAAATGAAAGGAGAGAAGGATGAAACTAGTGTTGAAAAATGCCATGGCCCACTGTGGAACCATGTCCTACATAGCTGTAATCCCTCTGGCAGGACTAAGTTTCCAGGGGTTGAGCCCCAAATGGGTTAAAAAAAAAAAAAAGACAAGAATGTGAAGTTTTCTTACCTCCTCAAACACCACTGTCCACGCTCACATGTGCTCAGCATAACAGAAACCAGGCCTGTCGATACCAGGGAGAACAATCCTCGGCCACAGCTCCAGATTTGTCCTATTCTACCACAGACAAAGCTATGGTTTGATGTGTGGGACAGAATAATTAAATAGTCTCAGCATCAGGAGATTTCATGGAAAGTGGTGATCAAGGTATCGTCATTCAACCAAATCACTTCAGAAAACCACAGGATTAACCAGGTTCAAAACCCAGCTACACAGACAAATGTTCTTGTCAAGGTGCTGAACTTCATGTGCGCTCCAGCAGCTGAGGCAAGTTTTTGTGCTGAATGAGAACAAGTTTTTCTTTGTTCTGTGATGATTTTGGTGCTCGGTCACTAGGTACCATACAGTTGTCTTCATCTCTGACATCAAAAGCTAGAAATCTCAAGGCCTGTGCAGAGAATGCTTCAGAAATTTGTAGAGTTTAGAAGAATGTCATGAACTGCTGCAGGTACAAACTAAGGTCATCTCAAAAGTTACTGAAGTTAGGGCATCGAAATAATCTACGTTATGAACTTTCACTTATCTTCAAGGCAGGTAGGTTGTCTTGTGCAAGAGACACACCCGAGAAACATGTTAGGAAAATCTACAGGCTGGAAATAGGTTCAGTTAAAGCAGCAGATAACAGATCTAAGATTATTACTATTGCTAATGAAAAGTAGTTTGTGGAAATAATAGAACGCATATGGGGAATGCTGGTTGCTCTGTCCTTGGTTCATGCTATTTTGTTCTGTGCTGCTGTCTCAGAGTGTGGACATGTCTAAGACACGACAAGTCAGGTCTCTTCTCATATACCCATGTTCGCCTGATATGTTTTCCCAGCTTTGTTCAACAGCAACATTTGAACTTTCATTTGTGTCCACAGAAGGTGTCTTGGAAAGCCCTAATGCAGACATTCATGTGGTGATTGAGATCACCTCTCAAGCCACTTTCCACTCCACACGCCTCACCAAAATCTAAGTCACACAAGCTCTGACGCACTTTTAATATCCTTCTGGCAAATTCAATGCAGAACCTACAATTCCCTCACAAGCCATGTAAGCCTTATCCCACCCTGTCATCTCAAATCAGCACATGTTGGTTAGAAAACATACCCTTATGAATCACCTTACACTTAGGTATCGGGATTACACCTAAACTTTGAAATACTATGTCATCTGTCACGTTCCTATGAGACTTTACATTGAATATCGAACTGGTGTACTACTATGAAGACCCTTGACACATTTTACCTGATCTAGAATGAGTATTCCAGACAAGGACCATAATATAATATTGTCAAATTATTAATTAGGGATCAATATTTCTACCATGCACCATTCACACTTATGGAGTCGCCTCACCCCAATTTCTTTTCCTCAGCCTTTCTGTTACTGAGGAATCTGTGTCCCTCAATTTATTTTTTGTTCTGAAAGAGGGCTTAATACCTACACTGGTTTCCAGTAACATATGCAAGAACCATTACAGCAAAAGCTAGATATGTTTTCAGGTTAGGTATACTTTATCAATAACATTATGGTTGATGAATGTGTTGACCTTCATGTAAAAACCTTCATCGTACACCCTGGGCAAAGATATCTACCACTGAAGAGCCAAACAAGCAGTTCTGTGTGTTATACTGAATCCCAAATAAGAAATACTTTTTTGGGTAGATTTTCTAGAGCTCTGTATTTATTCCTCTTAGGAAGAACTATCCTAAATTTGCCCATATAGTAAACATGGAATGGCTGCAGTAAGTTCTATATTTGCATATTAATGTAAAACTTTTGAGATGTTTCAGTATACTGAATTCTTTATCCAAGTTCAGTATTCCCTGTAAGCTGCACAAAGGGGCGCTTATCTTGCATCAGGTGTTGCAGTTAAGTAGCAAACATGTCTGAGAAATTCAGTATTCAGTTTTGTCTGTTTGCTTTTTACTTTATATCAGTTCTTAACCAGTGGTGCCCTGGAGCTCATAGCCATCAGCAACGCCACCTTTCAAAGAAGAGTTTTAAAAATTCAAGAATGTTAGAACTCAGTTTTACCTAGTGTTCTTGGTGATATGTCTCCATTAGTAACCATCACGTTAGTCCAGCCTTAATCAAACACTGTTATTTTCCTATGTTCTTTCATGTTAATTGTAGGCATTTTGTAATAATATTCTTGATTACATAATCAGATTTAATTCAGCTATGCTTCTGAAAAAAGGACAGACTTTCTTCTTCTTTTAATTTATAGTCAGAATCCAATTTTAGCGGGCCTCAAACAGGATCCGCCAGTAGCCAATAGGTGGAAATGGACACTTTCATAGATCAGATCCTTCCAGTTCAAGATATGCGTCTAAGATAGATGGGGTAAATTGCCCCTTGGACACGTGTGTTTATTTCAACTGACCACATGCAGCCGGCTTAGTTTTTAGATAGATAAAATAAGGTGAGATTAAACCCACCTTAACCTTTGATCAAGATATGTCATGCACATCGTGACACAGGTAGGTTTTCTAGGTTGCCTCTTTTAGCAGAGTTGTTCATTGTATCCTTATTTGTTTTGTATATGTATTTCATACATTTTTGAAGCAATTATAAAATCCCCACATTTTATGTTTGGAATAATAAAAGTAAAAAACAGAAAATATGAAGTATACTTTAATAATAAAGTTTAATTAGAATGCATGTCAAAGCAGAATTTTTTGTAATATGTATGCTTGACTTTAAGCAACTGAGCAGCTCTGTTTATAGTGAGGGGATGATGTAGGCAGGTCCATAAAGTTAAGACTGTTCATAAGAACTTTCTTGCTCTAGCCTAAACCTTTTGTAGTTTGGCTTGTATGCACAATCAGAGGTGGCTATAACATACATTTTCTAAATGCTTGGACTATTAATTCACTTTTTCATGAGTTAGCTTTTATGTGTCTAAAAAAAGAAAAACACATGTAAACTTTCTACACAGCGCAATTATTTTCAATAGTTGTAACAGTGACCGTATTAGGCAGACATTTCACATGTGTCTGTGTATCTGTACCGTTAAGAAATGCTTGCCTTTATGCCTGAACTTCTAATGAAAGAAGTAAATCTTATTCAAATGGACAGGTATCCTGAAACACTTGAAAATACTTGTATGGGTGAAGAGTATTTTTGTAAGAAAACAGAGCCTCCTTCCAGAGCGCTTTTAAGTTAAGAAGTAAAGCATCTTTAAAAACCTGGGGAAAAAATGGACTTCAATTTCCATGAAAGCATGTTTAATTTTGAAACATATAAAGATGTAAAAATTCAAGAGAAAATGGTAGCTGGTTTAAATATGAATTGTATTAATGAGAAGAGGGCAAGAATCTTATCTTCTAAGTGGTGATGACTCATACCTTCCAATTATAGCATGCATGCATCATACGTCAATGAAAAAGAATAGCAAGCACCCTCTAGATGGAAGAAATTCAGATAATTTGTGAACTAGTAGCTGTTTAATAGGTGTCAGACCTCATCTTGTGAAAAACCAGTGCATCTGAGTCGTTTCTCACTTATGATGATGCAAAACACAAATAACTCCACTGCTGTTAGTGCAGTAACTTTACTGTTGAAACTTGTGTGAGGGGAGAATCGATGCAAGAATGCCTAAGAATCCTTCTCTCACTTAATTCAGCTTTTAAAAGAATTACTGTGATTTTAAATGTAAACATACACACAACTCCATACCCCTTAAAATAGAGGTACAAGTCCATTCCCAAAGAAATATATATAGATTTTAGAAATCCCAAATAACAAAGATCTGAAATGCAGTCTCTTACTTGCCAAAGTCTAGTTTGCATTTGCTCTGCAGCAGTGGGACAGAATCAGCCAGCCTGTGATAGACCACAGCTTTCTCCTTCTCCCTAGTATTACAGCATGCCACTCTGTGCAAGCAAGATGGCAGAGACCGAAGATGACCCCCTTGAATTGCAAGGGCTGCCTGAGCTGGCCTGTGGGTCTTTTGAATTGTGCAAAAGCATCTGGGAGTTGCAGAGAAGTCTGTAAGAGTGCAGACTGCACCTCTCCTACAGATACAGGATAGTTCAGATCAACTACTGTATTTCAGAGGATTCCCAAGGATTTAGAGGAAAGGGAGAGCAGCTACCAGGCAAGCTCTGAAATGTCACTGGGGGAAGCAGACAGCCAGAAATCTTAGAAAGATGGCTTTTCTTAGAAAGTAAGAGGCTTTTTTTCCTGGAGGACTTCTATGGATGAAAGATGGCAGCAGAAGCAAGACTAGAAGTACAAGGCTGAGGGAAGGAATTGCAGTGGGTGAGGGAGGAAGTTTCACCATGAGAAGATCTACCTCAGCATGTTTGACTTTTTTGGTTGAAGAGCTGGGAATCAGATTAGTCAGAATTTTGGTCTGCTTCAGTCCTATTTTGTTCTAGTCTATTTCTTGCAGGACCTATTACTGCCTCCATCTCTCATCATTGCTGAGATTTTAATTTCTTTTGTGCACATTATCTTTAACCTCTATTTCTTCCTTTAGTTTTATTACACACATACTTTACAAGAAACTAGATCAGCTAAGCACAGGACAGAGGAATCTGTAACAAGGGTAAGATTTTGAATATAAGGGATGGCTGGCTGCAGGGCTGGCTGAATATGGCAAACACCAGTTCCAGCAGATGGCTGTTTACATACAGCACTGGCTCCCAGACGTTTTGGCTGTTGCAGTATTATCAGTCAGACAAGCAGCATAGCCAGATCTAGCTGATAAATATCACGGTCACTGTTACTTCCGAACTGCCTAGCAGCAGATCACTTACCATCAGTGATTTAAAAACACGATTTTCCCTAAAACTGTCACAATTCTCACTCCCAAATACAAGCATCACACAGTGCAGCTGTACTGCAGCTTCATATCCTCCCAGTCTGGGGATTTATACTGTGGGGGAATCCTGTGCAGTGACTTTGACCTGACAGGAACTGAAGATGCTTATGCTATTGGAATTGACATCCTCAAACTCCTCCTCTGTGGGCTCTGACACACACACACACACACACACACACCATACTCACCAGTCTCAGCAGAACTTGTCTTTACAGAAAGAAGTTTCACGCCCTCTTTATCTGATTGGGCCCTGTTGAAATCAAAAGACATTCAAGCAGAGAGTCAGCATGCAGCCCTGGCATGTCAGTCAGCTAAGAAAAACTCTAAGATTATGATGCGGAGATAGCACCCATGCCAGCACACTCTGGCATGCTGAGAAGCCCTATGGCCCTGAACTGGGCTTTGCATGGGATCATGTGTAGGAATCATTGCTGGAAAAGACCATATACCAGTATTTCTGAAAATACCTTTCTCTTGAAATATGTAATAAATCAATTTGCATGACTCCAGACACAATCTAATGCTCCACAGTAGAAGTACATCTGTGGGAAAACAGGGAGTAATCTTTCTTCTTTGTCAATACAATGCTCTTGGCCATGCTGAAATGAAAGAAGGATCACTTCAGGTGTCCAGGGAATCAGCTCACCAGCTCAAATTTTGGTTTTGGTCATACAAAACATAGAGACTACAGCCAGACTCAGTGGCTTCAAGTACAGTATGATTTTCTAGTAAGTCTGTTGCAGTTTCATTCTCTTGACACTCCTTAAGCTAATACCATTTTAGCTGAGCCTGTGCAGACGGGCAGGTGTAAAGACAATGAGACAACATAGAGAAAATGTGACACAGGAATATGAAATAATAGGGAAAATGAGAAAAAGGGAAAAAACAAAATAAAAAGTAGAAAAGAAAGAGAAAACTTATGAAAAAAGGAAGAGGATGGGAAAGGAGAGGAAAAAAATGAATGGGAAAAAAATGAAAGGGCAAAAAAAAAAAAAAGACTGGGCCAATGGGCCCTAAGGTATATAATAAACCGTTTTTCTGTTTCAAAATGATTCCCTGCAAAAAAGCTCAAGGCATCACATTTCTGTCCATGCTAGGACAGCTGGTTATCATCAATACAGGGGTTAACACGTGTACAATAACTGCAAGCACATCACTTTTAACAGGAGTTCTTTTTGGGGAAGCAACCACTTATTATATTTAAATAGAGAAAGATCAAAGAAAAGCACATGCAGAATCTGCTGCATTCACAAGCACTGTGTGATAGATCTTAAAGAAACAAAAAGACAGGATTCAACCTACTGTTCAGTTCCATTCTCTTGTCTCTCTGGAAAAAGAAAAAAAGTTAATATCATTTTGACTGCTAGAACTCAGTTAAGTAAAACATTTAGACATAGCTATTGCTGTTGCTAGCAGAAGACTTGGTGCGATTCCACGGTATTAAAATCAAGCAGCAGTAATGGTACCTGGTACTCTTCTGGTTTCTTGTCTCAAAAGATCGCCATGTCAGCCATGTAAGTGAACTGATACTGTTCCAACCAATATTTCTGGAAACTAGGGAGAAACGTACATGGCTTGTGAAAGAGTACAGCAGAAGTCATTTGAGGTTAGACGTCCGTTTGGCATTGCAGCACCTAGCTGTTAGACGCTTTTGCCTCGCTGTAACCCACAGCGGTGCTGGACACAAAGGATTCCTCCCAGATCATGTGGTGAAAGGACAGGAGCAGATGAATGGCAGCCTCTAATGCCTGCATGCTGAACAGAATGGTGCTCTCTAGCACAAAAACCAGCCTTCATCCACTCGGGATACACTGCCCAAACCACTCTCACTGCTTAGGCCAGCGTTTCTCATAATCCAGAGGGAAGCTGGGGCAGAATTTTCTGCCATGCTGTTATAAGAGTAGGAGCTGGGGTCTAGATCTTCTCCTGCTCTGCAGAATGCTGTAATTCCCATACCTGAGAGTCACTGCACAAACAAATGTTCAGTGATTCTGTGGGAAGATGAAACGCTTCAGGGAGAGGAGGAGGAGTTGGTAAAAACGTCTTTTTCCCTGCAGCCCCCAAATCCCCTGGTAGCTAGGGCAAAGGTGGTGAGTGTACAACAGCTCTTGAGCTGTCAACAGAGCTGCTGGATCTGTCACAAGCTAGCTCAGGACTGTCCATCCAAATCAGACCTGTAGGTACTTGTAGAATTTTACTATAAGAGAGTATAGCCTATGGAGGTTACACACATCTATGCCTAAGGGGTACCTGAGATGTGGTTGTAAGTCTTGCTCTCAGTTTCAGACTGAGGTTCTTAAACGGGCAGTTAAGTGCCCAGTTTTCGCCTTTCAACTAGCTCTTTGAAATTTGGGAATGGAGTCTAGTCCTTGAGCAAAGACTACACAGCGAGGGGCCTGCTAATACGCTGCTCACCAACGATGGTTGTCGCACTCTGAAGGCTTCAGAGTTGCAATCTGTCATCCCAGCCAACAAAAAATGCATTTCTCCCCCACATGAATGATGCACTGAACATATTTTATTCTAATGTGCAAATGTGGACAGATGGATGGGGTTAGGGCCTGTATCAGAGACATAGAGCTAATTTGTATTCTGCTGCACCAGTCATAGGGCTTTCAGTCTGCACGGGAAGCAAATCAGACAGACCTGAGCAAATCCTGTAAAAAAGGACCACAGATCTCTAGTCCAGTTTCGAAGTGAATTTACTATGTGCTGGCATTTATATGTGGGGGAGGGGGACTGGCAAAGAAACTTTCTTCAACCAATCTTTACCTCTTGACACTGAATATTCAGTAATTTCCTAAGCACAGATCACTATCCTCTTTTCATTTGGTTCTGGTTTTGCATGTCATTTGCTAAATTGTTTGTGACACACTATTTCCCTTGATCTACAGCTTCAACACCCTATTGTGAGTTTACATTTCTGAGGCCCAGAGATTTCACAGTTAAAGTTCTGCACAGATCTCTTAACTGATGTCAGCTCACAGGGAGAAAAAAACACAGTTTGGATTCAGATATGGGTATCCATTTAATGGAGAATTACATTTGCCTATGGCCCACTCTGGCAACTCTGTAAAATACCTGGCAAATGGAATTTAATGGAGTTATATCTCCGTTATTTTAAGTATTTCATAGATAGTTAGATACTGGCTTTGGCTGATCTGTCAGAATGACTGTCTGTTTATAAGAATAGTGTTTGCTCAGGGATTTTGCGCCTGTGTGTAAACTGTAACTGGAAAATAATATACATATATAAATATTGGGTATTTCCTAAAAGAAAGCATTGATTTTCCTTTGCCTGCATTTGGAGCAGAGATGAAATGAATGCAGGTGATTTTCTTAACACCTCCAAACTTATTTTGCATCTTTGTTTTCCACTAGGTTGACTGATTGTGTTAGCACAGCTGTTTGTTACCTCTTGTAGCTGCAAAAGAGGAAACAAAAAGCTTTATGGCTCTATGTGTTCTCCCAAAAATTACAGATATTTTTACTTCCTCTATTTTTCACACTAATTTTGAAAATGAAGTGTCTCTTTTCTACTTTAGGCAAAACACTTTTAAATCAGGAAGATCTCTTATCAGACTACAGCAACACCTATGGCTACAGCAATCTAAAAAAACCAGAGATCATTTAATAATAAAAAGCCTAGTGATTCCCACTCTTCCCCCCCACACACACAGAGAAAGCAAAATACCTGGTGTTTTCTTCTGGCACATTCTGTATAAAGCCACCAGAGAGAAGACAGAAAGGGTAATTACTATCAAGGTGATCACAATTGGCAAGATAACACCTGCAAAAGAGGGTAAACATCATTTTGCGAGCTGCCTCTTGCTTTCGTTACTTCCCTATGTAGGCACTCACACGCACAAAGGCAAGAGGAATCTCTAGCTTCTCCTACCATAGCAACTTCATCAAAACTCTGAATTTCCCCAGAGTGGGGGTAACCTGCTGCTTCTGTTATTCCTCACATGCCCACCAAGTGTCAGGCTTGTAGCCTTTTTGAAGGGAAGATTTAGGCCCCTTCCTTCCCCCATCCTTAATCATTCCCCAGCCTGGTGTCCCCAGCCGTTGCACAGCCCTTCAGAACCAGCTTGCACCTTATGTTTCTGTAGGAGAGAGAGGTTTTAACATCTTCCCCAGTGAGACCACTGTAATCTTGATCAAAATACTCATGATTCACCCCCGGTGTTGATGACCCCCAAAGGTTTTACAAAACAGTCATGTTTCAGGAGCAAATTTTTGCTGCAATTTTTTTTTTTTTTTGAAAACAAGACGCATCTGAAATTCAGTGACTAAAGTAATTATTTCTCTTTTAACATCGTAAGCCCTGACAGACACCAAGGAGTTACATAATTCAGCAGCATTCCCCCCAGCACTTATAACCAGGGATAGAAAATGCAAGCTCTCTTTTTCAAATGAGGACATTTCTTTCCTTTATTATTTCCCACCATCTGCCATTTCCTGACAGGTGTTTCCCAGCCAAGAAGTAAAAAGGAAAGAATTATGTAATGAAGAGAAGCTTTACTGGGGAAAACATACAGGCTCAGTTTCGATCCATTTATCTTTTTTTTTTTTTCTGGCAGCGCCTAGCCACATTCAAATTTAGCAGGCTGTAGACTGCTGGCCTGCAAGGGCAGCTCTGCCCTGGGCCCGGGGGCTCCAGCGGGAGTTCCAGGCAAGTGCCTACTCTTGCGCTGCCAGCCCTGGGAGGCAGAGCTCCTGTGGCAGCCTTCCTTGGAGTCCCCAGTTCCCACCTAGCCAGGCTGCCCTCGCTATGAGCACCCAAGCAGAGTGGGGGCACACAGGGCAGGCGGTTGGCTCTTTCCCGGAAGGATTTAGGAAGTCTTAAATGTAAGGCGATATGTTGCCAAAGTAGGTGGGGATCGAGGCTGAAAGATGCACTTTAGTATGACTGGTCTAGCAAGGCAGAGGATATTTAGAAATGGCTTCTTCAATGGCTCTTGATGCAATTAAAATGTAATATTCATACAGATATGTGTGTGTGTGTGTGTGTGTGTCTGTATGTGTAAAACTAGAGGGAGGACCTCTCCTGAGGTCTCTCCTGGGACAAGTTTAGACTCTGGAAAAACACCAACCACCTAATTTGCTAAGCCAGTACTCTGGGTATTAGATAGCAGACCTGCAGTAACACTCTCAACCTGGAGATGCACACTTTTGAAATCAGTATGTTAAATAACATACACAACCCAAATATTTACTACTTGAACAGTTTGCAGAAGACTCCCTCCTAGTCCTCCCTCCATCCTCCCATGACAATATGAATGATATATTCATATAATACATTCATTACAATATATCCATAACAATATATATTCTTAACAACATATGAGCAATATTTTCATGTTTCCTTGTCTCTCCTCTCACAGGAGATGACTGTTCAGATTTTTTTTCAGTTGTATCTCTTTGATCTCAGTCCTTAAGAATAATTGAGTTGTCCTCCAGTGAGAGTGGTGTCAACATGTTAAGCTCTGTTTCTCTTTGACAGGAGTTTTATAACAGGCAGTTAAAATGGGTTTGTAATAGGGTCTACAGTCTGGTAAAGACTAAGATAAAAATGCCAGTTTTATTTCTCTGCAACTCTGATCACTCACCTAAAGCCAAACAGATCTACTGAAAATTCAAGAGACTGACAATAAAGTAGGAACACTCACTAGAATAATGGATGGTGTCCTCTGGCAGTTTCTTGTTTTCAGAGCTCTTTTCAGAACTGCCAAAACCTAGATTTACAAAAGAAACATTGCCTGTCAGGTTAATATATAATTGTCAGAGCTCATCTTCCCCTCTCATTCCTTATCCTTCCCACACAATTTTTGTGTCCCCAATTCTGGAGCCATTGTATGCTCCACTGATATATGTGTTCTTAATAATACCTGAATAATTTGGCAAGCAGGTAGAAAAGTTTCTCTAGTGTGACTTAGGAGAAATATGCACTTCACATGGATTGTCTTCCCTAGGACCATCTGCTTGCTCACTTACAGATCACGAGCTACAAACTTGTTCAATTTGTGGAGGTTAAAATACTGTTCAACTTCAGAGAGATCTCTTGACACACAAATAAATAAGCAAGAGAGTGAAAATTAGACCTGTCTCCAAAAGAAGAAAGATCAGAATAATTCACTATTAATAGTAAAAAAAGCTAATAGTAAATGAAGACACTCAAAGAGTTGAAATATTAGTAGCTAGCAATTTTCTTGAGAGTCAAGTGTTACAAAGGCATGTGTACACTCTCTCTCTGCCATGTTTGGAGGCAGCAATGACTGTTGGGAGCCTCTGGGACGTTTTTAGGGTAGGATTTTAAGGCATGTGTTTCTGTCTTCACATGCCAATCTGAATTTCAGTCAGGTATCAACTACCCAAGATGTTTAACACTTTGTTGCAAACAGTCTGAAGAAAAACAGAACCACTGAACTTCAAGAGAGAAAAAGGGAAAAGCAAACATCTGTGCTTCTCTAGTAACATTACACAGCACACAGGATTATATTCCATATTGAAAGGAGGCTTGAGTGTACCTGTGTTTACTGCCATTGAAAAAGCCAATCAACTGGTTAAACGGATAGCTAGATGCCTAACGTCAACATCGTAATGTAAGGCCAAACATTTCTGTTGCTCATTATAATATCAGACGTGGCTCTCAAATAAGAGCGCCTGGGGAAGAAGGTCTGTTAAACAGAGATAGTAGCAGAGAGTATAACTCTTTGCATATAAGTAATTATAACAGGGAAGCAGCCACTGAGGCTCTGTCCCAGTCACTGATCCATTGGTCGGGTATACATATATGCCCCGTGCACCCGTAGGGATGCACAGTTCCTCCTTCAAAGACCAGAAGAGAGTTCAAATTAATGAGTGGAAACTGAGTCATGAAATTAACTGAGTCACTGAAATCAATTTCCCAGGGCCATTTTGAAAGCCAGGATTCAATTTCATGCTGAGCCTCTGAATTACAAGCCCATCTTTTTTATGAAAGCCTTTGTATAGGCAGTACCGGTAATTCTTGTCTATTGAATGATTGTAACAAACAATGCTAAGCCTGGAGTACTCTCTCTCCCCTTGCTGCACTAATTCTAAACTCAAGTCCAGTATCAATGAATGTTTTGGAGACTGTTTTTCTCCGAACAGTCTCTTTTCACCCCTATTTCCATTCTCAAAACATATTGATCAGTTCAAATACAAAACAGTACATTGTCTCTTGATGCAAGAGGCATAAAGCAGAGAAGAGCCGGGGCTAGTTTCTCCACAGGTTTGCTGGATATGCAAGTATGCTGGATTTTCCAGATAACTAGAAGCCACATTGTCCTGCTTAAAATGTAGCATGGATTGGCTGATAGTGCAAAGATTTGTGAGAACTGTGTTCTCATTTTTGTTCTGCGGTTCTGTAGCCATGTGAATTTTGGGCAGCTTGTTTATCTTCTCTGTTTTGTTTCCTTTTTTGGGGGTTGTGTGGTCTAAGGTTGTGAAACCTCCTGGGGAGAAATGATCGCTTACTATGTGTTTGTAAGGTGCCTAAACAATACAGTCTCAGCTGAGACCTATTGATGCACTAGTATAGGAAACAATCATTGTCTGAGCCCTTATCTCTGAAAAAGCACTACGTTTCTTTAAAGCAGAATTTACCTCCCTGGTGGTCCCTGTCTGTTGGGAGACGATAATGCAGGGATGGAATCTGTGAGCCATCAGGAGGTGATGGAAATAATTCTTATGCATTGATAATTCCATGTGATTGCTTCAGATTTCCCAGAGGAATACTACTGCCCCATTCCTTACCTTACCTGATATACTACAGGATACATAGGGCAAGCAGGCAGTTATCACAGCAATGACTTATCATGGATACTTACCAAAAATACCAACAGAAAAGAATTACACTGAAAAACATGAATGTGTATCCCCCATATTTGTCTAACATTTCCTCAGGGAAAAACTGAGGATTCTAATCCATAAGTTATTTTCCTAGCTCTCTATTAAATGACCAAGCTGTCAGTAATGCAGAAAAGAGGAATTCATACATTAGTGTTTTGACTATATGAGACATACAATGAGAAATACAATGGCTAAAAAGAAACACTACTGAATTAATAAAATGTATTAAGGAATTAAAATTCTTTAATTCATCTATCTACTTTATTAGTTAAAATTCTCTCGCAAGCCAGCCCATCCTGCCTGTATTCTCTGGATCTGCAGAGTGAATCTGTAAGATATTTGCCAGCTATAGAATGATCTGGGATCAGAATAACAATTAATTAGAGTAATAGATTCATCATGGTAACAGGAGGGACAAACTGTTAGCAGCAGCAGCAGGAACTGCAGGGACCAGTACAGAAAAGACTGCTTCCTGATAAGGAAGCTCAAAGAAAGGGAAATAGGACAATATTGGCTCACTAGCACAGGAAACTGCTGTCTTACTCTGGGCAATTCTTACTGCTGGTTCTAACTACAGCACAAGCAATGAGAGCCACCAGCAAGAACAACCTACTCAGTAAACACTCTACTTTTATATCAATTTCCCATTGCCTCATGCGATCCGCTAGGCCTGATTTTTTTGTGCTCATGCCCTCTTTTATTTGCGGTATCCCCTGGTCCAACATGGCATTCAGCTGAGTTCACAGCAAAGTTGGTCATTGTTACAACTTGAGCATCACTCATCTGCTTCTCAGCATTACACTTCACTTCAATCGGAAAATTCCCTTGGAGCCTTTTACTTCCCTCAGCATTTCCTTTTCTCAGTCTGCCTCCCTCCCACTCAAACCAGCTCTCTTAGTAAGTGTGCAAAGATCAAACCCTTCTGTCACTCTTACTTGCTGGGTCTGCTGTGGAGCTCACAAGAAGACCTGTAATAAAACAGAAGGAACAGCTTAATATTAGATGTCCTGGCTTATAGGAGAAGAAAGCAAAGAGAGTTTCCAATATCATGCAAATTTGCAGGCTCTAGCAATGCACTCTCTAACTGCACAAGAAACACTGTCCTGGAATGGCAGCTGCTTGTGGCAGCCTTGCTGACACTGTTCCTGAGCTCAAAAAATCAGAGCTATCACAGTCTGCAGAAGTCCCTTATAAATGGAACCAGAATCCAAAGCACAGCCTACACTGGGTTGCTATTCCACTCAAGAGAAGAAAATCCTGAATTAATTGATACATTCCTAAAAAACTTCTCCTGCAAACCAAATAGGAGTGAACAGCTGGCATTTAACTGACAAATATTATGAGTGTTTTAATAAAAGAAATTCAAATTCCTAACCGAGACACATCTTCAAGTGTCACAAATCCTCTTAAAAATGAGTCTTCATTAATTATCTTAGTGTTCTTGGTTAACAGACT